TCAGCCGTGAATCCAGGAGGACTCCCAAGTTGCGCGCCCTCTCTGAGGGGGCCAAGGTTTCGCCCCCTATAGTCAGCGATGGCGTCAGCTGACTATGCCGAGACGCCGGCAACCACAGCCACTCGGTCTTGGAAGGGTTGAGCCTGAGTCTGTTCCTCCCCATCCAGACCCGTACGGCCTCCAGGCAACGGGCCATCACCTTTATCATTTTATAAGTAATTCAAGGTGGCAAACATTCCTAATATTCCTTCCTCAGTCTCAGCCCAACCCACCTCATAGGGCAGGGCTTTTCAATCTTTTCACCCATTGTACCACTTTTAGGATAAGGCAATATCCGAGTACCACCAGTCGCCCAGCAAGGTGTCAAAAACTTGACCCCCCAAAAAGGGGGAAATGATGAAGTACAGGTAGTCCTCGACTTACAACAATTTGCTTAGTGACTGTTCAAAGTTACAATGGCACTGAAAAAAGCAAATTATGACCACTTTTCACACTTAATGCTGTTGCAGCATCCTCAGGGTCATGTGATTTACATTCGGATGCTTGGCAACTGATTCATATTTATGACGGTCACAGTGTCCCAGGATCATGTGATCCCCTTTTGCAACCTTTTGACAAGCAAAGTCAATGGCCAGGGGGCGTGGCCAGCTCATCATTCAGGTTGTGGGGTGCCTGTGGGGGGTGCGGTCGGGGATGTGGGGGGGATCTGTGAGTTTCTGGTGGAGGGGAGTGGGACAGGCATGGGCACCTTCCTTTCCTCCCTCTCTCACTCCCATTGTCCCTTCCTTCCTTCCTTCCTTCCCTCTCTCTTTGTCCCTTCCTCCTTCCCTCCCTCCCTTCCCTTGTCCCTTCCTCCTTCCCTCCCTCCCTTCCATTGTCCCTCCCTCCCTCCCTTCCTTCCTTTCCTTTCTCCTCCCGCTCGGTGCAGCCGGGATCCCAGCACAGCTGCTGTTCTTCCGCAGGGGGAGGAGAGCACAGGCAGCGGAGGAGGGCACGGGGGCGGGGAAAGAGCTGCAGCTGCCAGACTCCCTCTGGTGCATTGCATGCAGCTGCAGCCGGAGAAAAGCAGCGAGCAGGGAAGCGGCTCATTCATTGCTACAGCCAGCCCCGAGGATTTAATATTTATTTAATAGTGTACACCCCTGAAATCCTCTTCCAGCTGAGCAACAAAAGCTAAAGCGCCTTTCCCTTCCCATCCGATACCTTGGCACCCTGACAGGCAGCAGATCTCCCAACATCAAATCCAATTTTAATTCAGACTCCAACATAATTTACAAATCTATCCAGATCTGGGACTGCCCTGCACCTTTCTGAACCACAACTAAACCAAGCGATTTCTTTTTTTCCCTGCATCCCCTCACAGAAAAAGGGGTTTAATTCCTTCCTCCTTCAGGCAAGCTCCTACTTTAGGTTTAGCCATGCGAGCCAAGAGTTTTCTCAGCCGCCGAGACCGAAAGGTGCCTTGTTTCTCCGAGCACCCCTATGGAAATCCGGCTTGCTGAGCTTCAGTCAAGCTCAATTGGGAGCCGCAGCCCGGAGTCACGCGCAGCCCCGGGCATTTGTTTTATGGGCCCGGCGGAGCCTCAGCACCAGGCTGGACCCCGGGAGGCTCCTCAGTGTTGAGCCGAAATGCAGCTGCAGGTGCTCCAGCCCCTCTCTCGGTGCAAAGTGGTGCCTTTCTGGCTCCAGCCCCATTGGTGTACTGACCTACGGATGAAAACAGGCCTTGCTCTCCAGACGAGAGCCGAGCCCAGCAACTGGAGGGCAGCCATAAGAGCGGGCGGGGCCTTGCCGGGAAGGGCCGTCCCACGCCCTCTAACGGTGGTCAGAGTGATGACGTGCAGCTGCCAATCCCACCTTGCTCAGCTTGCCCATTCTTATTCCTCCCTCCCAAAAGGTGGTGCAAGCAAGCGAGATGAGTAGGAGCACGAGATCGGTGTTTCTGAGCACATGCTGATTCACGCTCCTGCCCATTCTCGCTCTCTTGCCGGTGCCCACAATCTGCCTGGCTTCCCCTCTGCCTGCTTTGCACAGCTCCTCCTGGCCCCCCCACGCCCGCCGTTAACCCTCCCGCCACCATGCAGGGTAAGGTTGGCACCCCCGCCCAGATGCCCTCGCCTCCCCCAAGCATTTTTTTACTCACCTGCTTTCAGCTGCACTCCCTTTCTCCTTTTGCTTCTCTGCCTTCACCATGTGTTTGTGGGTAAAAAAAGAAAAAAAAGTTCCATGAGACTTTCTAACTTCTCGTGAGAATTTAGAAAGTCTCATGGAACTTTTTTTTTTGTCTCACAAACACATGAAGGCTGAGAAGGACAGGAGAAAGGGAATGTTGTTGAAAGCAGGTGAGTAAAAAAAAACCTTGTGGGAGGTGAGGGCATCTGGGTGGGGGCAGGGGGGACCCAGGCAATGTGTCGTGCAGCTCCAGCGGAATCTCCACTGAAGACTGCTTGAGGCTGCCTGCTACCCCCAAGGCCATCGCCAATCAGCTGGAGATGCATACTTTGATCCTGGGCTCTCAGTAGGACCCAGACAACAAGCAGTTCCAGCTGACTTTGCCACAAGCGTCACTGCTGCTGCTTCATCTCATCCACTTTTACACTTTTTTTTACATTTTTTTTACATTTTTTTTCAACCGTCCTACGTGTACCACCAGCCAGGTGCTCACGTACCACTGGTGGTACGCGTACCACCGGTTGAAAAGCCGTGGTCTAGAGTGGACTTTTTTATTTTATTTTTTTTAACAAATATTTTATTGAGTTTTTTAAGGGTAACAAGGGAATAGGGTCAACAGAGGTAAAACAAAGGGAGACATACAAAAGGGTTAAACCAAAGGAAGGGGGTAAACACAAAAGTGGGATCAATCCCACAAAATAACATCGCTTCAGCAAGTAAACCCGTCTGGGTATACATATTAAGTCTTAATGATTACTCTAGTATTAAACAGCTTTCAATATAATCATGTAAATAACAAGTTAATCAATATATCTCATTCATTTTACTAATTAACAATGCTTAATACTAATTAGTTGTAATAACTTTAAAATAGTAATATATTACTTATTGGTTATAATTTACTATATATCACAAATACGAAAAAACAGAAAAAGACAAGTTCATACAAATAATCATGAAATATAAATACAAATTATCAATTATCTCTTTAAGTTTCATAACCTTTTCTCATTCTATCGTATTGCTAACCATTGGTAAAATTTTTCCCATGTTTTAAAATAAATTGTATCTTCTTTCTCTTTCATTTCTAAAGTTAATCTATCCATTTCTGCACATTCAAGTATTTTTGTTATTATAATCTGATAAGATGGTAAATTTTAATTTTTCCAAAATTGGGCAAATGTTATTCTCGCGGCTGTTAACACATGTAATATTAAATACTCATTCTCTTTTCCATAATTCAAGCCTAGTATTCCTAGCAAACAGAGTTCTGGTTTAAATTCTATCTGTATTTTAATCATTTTTTCTAGCCACATGTGAATCTTAAACCAAAATTTCTTAGCATTAGGACATATCTACCAGAGATGATAATAAGTGCCTGGTTGTTGTTTACATTTCCAACACATATTTGATACATTTTTAAACATTTTCTCTAATCTAACTGGTGTCATGTGCCATCTATAAAACATTTTATATAAGTTTTCCTTATATGCAGCTGCTTTAGTAAGTTTAATATTTCGGTCCCATAGTTTTTGCCAATCTTCTAAATCTACAGAATAACCAAAATTCTCTGCCCACACTATCACTGTTTCTTTCACTTATTCTTCTTCCATCATCCAGTTTAACTAAACTTTATAGAGTTTCATACTCAAATTTTCATCTGTTTTCAAGAGTATTTTATCTAATGGTGTCTGTTCATTGTAAAATCCCATTACTTTTACATCTTTTTCATATCTTGTTTGAATTTGCAAATATGACCATGATGTTAAATCAATACCATTTTGTTGAAGATCTTGCCTATCTTTATGTTTTCCTTCTTGATCTAAAATATCTTTATAGACCACAAGTTTATCATAGTTAATTAAGTTCAGATACGCAAATGCTTTCATTGTTGAAAGCCACTCAGGTATTTTCATATACATTTTATTTTTAATTCTCTCCCTAGAGTGGACTTTTAAATCATAATTATTATTACCACTTCTACCATTACTAACATTAATATTTTTAAAGAAAGAATATAATTGAGACCTAGGCATTTATTTATTGATCAACTTTGTAATACTGCCCATCGCTTTCACAGAGGGATT